TAGCCATTCTGAGAGAGGTATTTCTGGTAGCTGTATATGGAAGGTATTTCTGTCGCACCTTCTGTGTATATATGTGTGTGGTTGTCTGTTTCTGACATATCAAGAACAATTGCGATTAAAGCACTATCGAGACATTTATGTCGTAATGAATTATTTTCTCCTTTGATCATGGTAGCATTTTTTTATATAAAAGTTGTTCTCAGTTTCGTTACGGTGGGCAACCAATACATTTGATGTATTAGTTTGTAAAATTCCGGTTTTTTTCATATAATCTTTTATTTAGATTCCTTGAGGTTTCTCCTATGTATTTTTGGTGGCAATTATTACAGAGGATGGAGTAAACGCTTCCTCCAGGTTTTAGCTTATTGCTTCGTGTAGTATATGGAGAAATTTGAAAGTGTTTTCAATGTATTTCTCCTCTTCGTGTAAATAATACGAACCTCATATTCTTAGTGCTCTTAGATAGAATCACCAGAAATCAACTAACAGGAAACCACCGGAAGTCAACGAACCTAAACGACTTAATAAATTTCTATTCTCACCATAACAACAAAATAAAATCCGGCATAATTCATCGGATACTCCCTGAGAGATCTAAGATTATGCAGCTCGCATTATTTACACGAAGAAGAGAAATACATTGAAAACATTTTCAAACTTCTCCACTACCCCAATTATTTTATATTCAATTAGAAAAAAAAGACCCATAAAATATTCCAAAACAAAGAAAAAACGGCACCTCCTAGGAAAGCCAAAATATATTTCCTGCTACTAATTCTATCATATCTACAATCGAAAAGAATCTATCCAAACTCAACATAAATGTCGTTACAACTACATCCAAAGCAATAAAAGACTTAGTCAATACTAAACAAAACAATACGTTAAAACCTGAAGGAGTTTACTTCATCTCGTGTAATAATTGTCACAAAAATATATAGGAGAAAGCTCAAGGAATCTAAATAAAAGATTATATGAAGAAAAAGGGTACAATTTACAAAATAATACGTCAAATCCATCGGCTGCCCATTGCAACGAAACTGACCACAATTTTGACATAAAATGCTACCATCATCAAAGGAGAAATAATTCACTACGACGTAAATGTCTGGAGAGTGCTTTAATCGCAATGTCATCTACAGTAAATCTGCGCCCTGACTCTTACATTTCACCATTCCTGGCACATCTTCTAATATCACAATGTAGAATACATACTTACAAAAGTGATGAATAGAAAAAGGCTCTAAATGAATTCGGACAGATAAAAAAAATTCTAAAATTCCCAGCACCCCTATATCGTAAGCAATATAACAAATTTGGTCCGATGAAGTCCTGACAAACGAAACGCGTCACAAGCAAACATTTTCCACTTTGTCATACAATTTTCCCAAATATATATATATATATATATATATATATATATATATGTATATATATATATATAAAGGGAAGAGGTTATATTAGTTTCAACGAGGGAAAAGTGTATATATTAAAAAGAAGAGAGAAACTGCAAACGTTTTCGATTATAATGTGGATTTCTTTTAAACATTTTGCTTTATTTTCCATAATTTTGCTACACCGGTTTCCGGTCTCGCGACCTTCATCAGGCAAAGCGTGGAGATTTCCACATATTATTAAAAATAATATTTTTTTTATGTTTTTCGATGTTAAATATTCCCGATATGAGATATTCTCTTTTTAGTATTTTAGTGACCCAAATATCTTTCTTGAACTGGCAGTGAAAATTTCTGCGCGAAGGGTTCTAAAACAATTAAGATCGGTCCGAAAAATGGTGAAGAAGTTATCAGCATTCTTATATTTTAATGGCATATATATATATATATATATATATATATATATATATATGTGTGTGTGTGTGTGTGTGTGTGTGTGTGTGTGTGTGTGTGTGTATGTACGCGTGTGTGCTTGTGTTTTTTGTGTATGTGTGGATGTGGTAGGAGAAGGGTAATATATATCTATATGCGCCCCCATATATGTGCGTGTGTGTTTATATGTATGTGTGGGCGTGGTGGAGGAAGACTAATTTCTACGCATTGATGTTTTTTTTTTCTTTTTGTTTTTAACATTATTTCTTCGTACTCTAAATCCTATATTTTAGTGAATATATTGTTGTCATATCTGGGTTGGATTTACCCAATCCTCATTTTCCCGCCTTGACTGAGTTCAAAAGAGTGTTCTAGGCTTTGAAGGCAATGAATTAATTTCCCTCCTACAACCTCTTTCCCCACAGACGAAATGTAAGCCACTCGCTGTTCTATCCCCATGGCAAGTGATTTGACGAGCTGAATTCTTTGGTACCTTGGTACTCTGTATTTGAAACACGCCATTTCCTTCGTATTTCATTAGTAAGTAGTAAGTTCAACCCTGACATCTTCTTCCCAAGAACTGCTGATCTGTGGAACAGACTCCTGACAAGATGTTTTCCAGATCAATACAATCTTGACCTCTTCAAGTTTATGTTTAACCGTTATCTTTCCTTGTACAGTCCCGTTAAATTCATTTCTTCTCTTTTTCTTATGCTTCTACAAACACCACACAGTAACCCTATACCTTGAGTGGCTCTTGGAACCTGTATTGGGTGAAAATTGGTTTAAAATATACGTGCTTTGAGTAAGATGCACTGTTTTGTGAATGAAACGTAGCAGCCTATGCATTCGAGAGTCTCGTCTTTTTATCTTAATAAAAGATGCCCTCTGACAGGGTTCGATCCGGCGTCGACTTTTTATAGGAAATCATCATCTTATACGGCGTGCTTTAGACGTCTCAGCCACAGAGAGATTTGCAAAATGGGCTCAGGTAATCTTAATCTTAAACACAAATAGTGAGACACTCATTATGAATCGAACTAAAGTAATGGTTGCCGAAAAACCTGCATGCTTACCACTAGAAGAGCCAACAAACACACACACACATATATATATATATATATATATATATATATATATATATATATATATATATATATATATATATATATATAAATAAAAATTGAAAAACGCAGCAATAACTGATACATTAAAATATAGACATATTGAACACCCAGACACCCTCGTCTAGTAAAATGAATTCATCTGTAACCTTGGAAACATGAATTATGATTTTAGCTGTGTCTTTAAAACCCAGGAATTTTAAAAGTTACCTAAAAAATTCACTTGAGGAGGAAATGGAACTAATGTCTTTTAATTTAATTACAAAATTAAATTCGGGGCTTTTAGCTTCCATTTTTGAAACATGGTTAGAACTGTGTAGCGGAAAAAACCATATTTTAAATGAATTAATTTATAATATATATATATATATATATATATATAATGAAATTGATTATAATTATTTAATATGTTTTCTGTTTATACATTATTTTTATGGATACAATTTCTTTCAGTAAATGCTCTGTTAATATTTTAATTAAACAGCATTAATTACATTTACCAACCTGAATTTTCGAGAAATTTCTTAGAAAATATGTGCTCTCCGACATGAAGTGAAATATATATATATATATATATATATATATATATATATATATATATATGGCAATAGTATATAATTTAAAGTATTGTATATTAATGAGTAAAAGTGGTCATTATCAGAGCTAGAGCGTATGTAAATATAAAAGTGGACACTGGGGTCAACACCGAGTGGCGGCAGTCTGTTTCACGCGTGAAGGTTGCGTTCAAGTATAAAACAGACTGTCGCCACTCAGTGTTGACCTCAATGTCCACTTTTATATTTAGATAGGGTCTATCCCTGATATAGAGCACTTCATGGAAAAATAATAGGAAGTCGAGTCCTAGGGATTCCAATCATCTATCAGTACCTCAGGTATAATTCGTATGTATGATTTATCGCTAAATAGACTGGAAAATGCTTTCGTTTACTGCTGCAGTGTATATCTGACACCTCCTTCCACGCTCTAAGTGTCGGATCAGAGGCCCAAAGCCAGTTCAGACCAAAAAATGGCCTATTCCTGCCGAATCTGGACTGGAGCAGCCCAATCCTAACTTCCCACCCGGGACAAAGTTAAAACTCGTCTACATGGCATTGTAGGTGATGAATTATTTTCCACCCGACAATCACTTTCTCACAGACGAATTGTCGCATGCCTCTCGACCATTTATCGATATTTCCATGGCAAATGCTCTGTCGAGCTACATTCTTTCGTTTTACCTATTGCCGGTTTTTACATGGTATCTCATCTACAGTCACTTTCCTGCCAGCGTGGTGTAATTTCTTTCTGTTTTTTCTATAAATACCTTTATGGTAATTCTGATAATTGTTCTGATGTGCTTTCCTCTTTCATAACTCAACTTTACGAATTTAAGCGCAGTATTCGATTGGCCGATTGGTGTCATAACCTCACTGTTGAAATTGCCAGATGTAAACGTAAATTCTTTTGCTAATAGTTTCTTCTCTTGAACTTTTCGCTTTTCTCTCGGCTTCTTGTTTTCCTGTTCTGTGAAATACGATCTTCAAAGATTTAAATGCGATGACGATCTTTTTGTTTCCTTGAATCCCGTTCTGCTTCTATCCTTTCTTCCCAATAACTCTTTTCTCAGATTTTTTTTTTCATTCCTGGCAAACGCTTTCGTCTTAGTAGTTTTATCGCCTTGCTTGGGGTGAAATGATTTGTTTTTGTTTTTAAATGTTCTGAAATACTTTATATTTGTTACCAAGTGATAACTTAATGGCCGTGCATCTTGTCTGACACTTTCCTAGTCGGACGGTCGAATCAGGATTGGATTGACTTGTTATTTTTAAATAACTGTTTGTTTTAGTTTGATAGACGTTGTGGACAAAAATCATAAAGAGAATATCACGCTGTTCATTATTATATTTTATTTATTTTATATTTAATAACAAATCAATAATTGAAAGTTTTAAGACATTTCCATTTCGACGATACGGATCTTTAGATTAATGACTTTTCATTGTTTTACAAAATTTAAACAAAAGCAAAACGTTCGCTAATTAACTCCCGTCTACTCCAGAAATCGTGTGTGTGTATGTGAGGGAGAGAAAGAGAGAGAAAAACAAAAAGAGAGAGTGAGAGAGAGTAAGCAAGAGTGAGTGATCAGGAGTGGTCGAGAAAGACTGACAGTGTGATGGTGAGGGAGTCTTTGAACGAGCGAGTGGTAAGAAGGTAAGTATGCAAGTGTAAGAGAATGAGTGAGAGTTTGAGGATAAGTGTGAGAGAGAGAGAGAATATGAAGGTGAACGAGAATAAGAGCAGTAATGAGAATAAGAGAGCGAGTAAGAATATGAGGGTAAACAAGAGTAAGGGAGAATGAGTGATGGTAGGAGAGTAAATGAGAAAAGGAGAGTAAGTGGCTAAGGAGAGTAATGAGAGAAGGAGAGTAATGAGGGAAGGAGAGTGAGAGCAAGGGTGTATGGGAATAGGAGAGTGGTGGAGAATACGTGAGTAAGAGGATATATGATAGTAAGAGAGAGCAAAATAGTGGCTTAAAAAGATTGAGCAAGAATAAGAGTGGGTGAGCGAAAGTAAGAGAGTGGGCGCGTACAAGAGATTGGGTGAGAATAGGGGAATTTTCAAGAATAAGAGATTGACAGTGAGAGTGTCCGTGCTTGTATGTATCTGTGTGCGTTTTATAGATCATTTAGCGCAGCTCACGACGGAAATTGCCGAAGTACAGGTAGCCATTTTCCTAAAACACCTTTCCTGTCGGTAATGTATTTAAAGAAAGAAAGAAAGAAATGAACAGAACAGAAAAGAAAGAGCAAAGAAAAAAAAGAAAATGCACACATTGACTTAAAGAGCGATGATTAATGATGTTCTTTTCAAAGTTCTAATTTGTTTTAGATCATTTTTCCTGTAATGTTTTCAAAATCAATATTTGTAATTAACCAGGAAGATATTGCTTTTGAAATCGAATTTTCTCTTGTAGAGAATATTGAATTGAAAACAATCCGGAAAAAGAATTCCTACGACAACACAAGCAGAAAATTTTGTTTCCGTGATGTATTTTTTTTCTGTTCCTTCAAATTAGACGATAATAGTACTGCATATGAAACACTTTTCATGAAATATTTTTGTTTAATTTGAAACCAATTCTTCCTTCGAAATTTTTTTGTCTAAAGGTTCTAATCAAAGTTTACTCATTCTAAGAAAAATTAAGCATTGCAAAGAATGTGTATTCGCCTCTTTCATTTTTCTTCTTCTTTTAAGACATTTTGATTGTTGTCGTTTTGTTATATGATCAGTTTTTATTATTCAAACCAAAAACGTAAATTCAATATCGAGAGTGCAAATAATTAACATTCTTCACTGCTGCGTTGTTACAACATTGTTGCTAGGCTAGGCTGGCCCGTTTTGTCAAAAAAAAAAAAGAAGAAAATATTTCGATTTTTTACTTAGTATTTAAACGCCGAAGGCGATATCTACTCAACTTTGTTTTCATCCAAATAGCAAAATCAAATACAACTATTTAAATATGTGTTTTTAAATGTTTTAAAAGTGGACGGGAAGAGCGACACTGAAATCTGGGTCGCATTGGAATAGCAGAAAATGACCTCTAAAAGCTAAACAAAGTATTAAGAAACACGAAAATTTCGTTAAAAGCAAAGAAAGCAATACTGAACTGTTTTTGTTTTTTTTCTTTCAAATCATTTCACCCCAAGCAAGGCAATAATGTCACTGGAACGCAAGGGGTTAATGGATTTTACAGAATATTAGAAAAAAGCTACTATTATGGAGACAAGACAATAAAAGGATAGGAATTAAGAAGACAGAAGGTAACGATTGACATTTCATTTAAATTTTTAACTCTTATGTAATATCGTTACGCCCACTCTGCATGAATACCCTTGGGAAGATTATGCACCCATCTCTTCTGCCAATAGTGCCGGATTAAATAGCAGGGCAGGCTGGTCTCTGTAGCCTTGGATGGCAATTAATATAAGATAATTTGATTTGATTTGCTTGTTTAATAGCATATCAAATCCTCATGGACTCATTTAATACCGAAATTTAATTTTCTTGAGAGCTTTCAAGTAATAAAAATATGATATACGTTATTCTGCTTTCACAATTGAATACATGGTAGATAATACTCAGCTTTTGTGCATATACATGTTTGTGTGGATAATTACTAGACGTGGTGATATGTATGTTTTAAGTTATATTTTGTTGTATTTTGGAATATAATTTGATTTCTTAAAGAACTTATAGGATATTATATGGATTAATGCCATCAAAGAGTTCTTTCATTTTGATTGATGCATTATTGGTAATTTTAATATAAATAGATACTGTTGGTAATTTTATTTTTATATAAAAATGTATTGCTGGTATTTTTACTATAAAAATGTTTTTTTATACTTACATATGGTTTTGGTTTTGTTTGAAGTGGTCACTATTTGCCCATTGTTAGGACCCTAACAGGTGCTACCACTCCGGGTCAAGGTGAACCTGGGCGCAACAGCAATTAAGAGGTTATTCCACGCTCCTCAAAACCTCCAGCCTCTCGACCACAAACCTTGCTGCCGGATGCAATTTATGCCCTAGATTAATATAGGAGAACAACAACTCTATACTTCTTCTATACTAGTGTTTGCTCAATAGAAGACTCAAGAGCCATAAAGGTAGAAGGTTTCTAAACGAGGCGTATAAGGAGGGATGAAGATGTGCATACAAATGATAGATAAATGTTGAACCTAGTTATGAAAGGGTTAAGATTGTTGTGATTGCGGATGCATTATTTCCGGAGTCTGTTCTGTTACAAATTCATGACGGTCGTCTTCGAGTATAGAATCCAGAGGTTGGCAGTGAATATTTCGGAGACAGTAGGAAAGCGTAGTGCAGATTCGCAGTGGATATCGCAGCAAAGTAGCAGAGTTTTTCCTTCTGTCCTGTTCGCCTGACAAGTTGGCTCTGGTCATTCCGGTAGGGTAAACAAAAATGGCCGCCTTTATACACGACGGATACAATGTTCTGCGGCTTCTGATTGGTTAATCTTCTATTGGTAGACTATAAAGGGAATTAAGTCATTTTGACTCGCAAACTAGTCACACATATATATACACAAAAAACTGTAACATGTTCTGCGACGTAACAACCCTGGGGAAGATGCTGAGTGGAAATTCTTCATAAGCAAAGGAATACTGAGGGAATGAGTTGAATCAATATACGTGGCATGAATGAACCTAGCCGTAAAGGTTTGAACTGTTAAAACAAACGAATGTAACTCACTTGAACATCTTTCATGTGAATAGCGATTAGAGTAACGAGTGGCGTAACGATATTACATAAGAGTTAAAAATTTAAATGAAATGTCAATCGTTACCTTCTGTCTTCTTAATTCCTATCCTTTTATTGTCTTGTCTCCATAATAGTAGCTTTTTTCTAATATTCTGTAAAATCCATTAACCCCTTGCGTTCCAGTGACATTATTGCCTTGCTTGGGGTGAAATGATTTGAAAGAAAAAAAAAAAAAAAACAGTTCAGTATTCCTTTCTTTGTTTTTAACGAAATTTTCGTGTTTCTTAATACTTTTTTTAGCTTTTAGAGGTCAGTTTTTGCTATTCCAATGCGACCCGGGTTTCAGTGTCACTCTTCCCATCCACTTTTAAAACATTTAAAAACACATATTTAAATAGTTGTATTTGATTTTGCTATCTGGATGAAAACAAAGTTCAGTAGATATCGCCTTCGGCGTTTAAATACTAAATAAAAAATCGAAATATTTTCTTCTTTTTTTTTTTTTTTTTGACAAAACAGGCCAGCCTAGCAACAATGTTGTAACAACGCAGCAGTGAAGAATGTTAATTATTTGCACTCTCGATATTGAATTTACGTTTTTGGTTTGAATAATAAAAACTGATCATATAACAAAACGACAACAATCAAAATGTCTTAAAAGAAGAAGAAAAATGAAAGAGGCGAATAATACACATTTTTTGCAATGCTTAACTTTTCTTAGAATGAGTAAACTTTGATTAGAACCTTTAGACAAAAACATTTCGAAGGAATACTGAGGGAATGAGTTGAATCAATATACGTGGCATGAATGAACTTAGCCGTAAAGGTTTGAACTGTTAGAACAAACGAATGTAGCTCACTTGAACATCTTTCATTTGAATAGCGATAGAGTAACGAGTGGCGAGCAACGTTTGTAAGCTAGAAAATAATTAATCCACAAATCAGCCTAATCACTTTTGACAATGCTGGAGAATGATGTGAACAGAGTTTCCATCCCATATTTCGTAGCAATATATATATATCATCACTGTCTTGTCCGTATGTTGCTTAATATGTTGAAATTGACATCTTTGATGATGGCTTAAGTAAGCCGAAAGCTTAGATTGTATTAAAAAAATATGGATCAATATTGTGAATTTCTTTCTTCGTTCAACGATAATGTTATTAAATCTATCAGATGTTACAAAAAAATTTACATAAAATAAATCGACAACACTTGTCTATATTATTTAATGAAACGTTTATGAATGAAAAGATGTTGCCTAAATACACACAATTTAAATTACATGATCCAGCAGCCCACAATACTATCAATACTTGGAATTACAAATGTAGCCTTGTGAAAAGGCAAAATGAAATAGCCAAGGAAAAATTGAACAACCTTAACAGCAACAAACGGGATATTTACGATAAACTACAGGATATAACTACCACGGACCAACTGGAGGAAATTACACATAGATATGCGCGTGTTTATCGTTGCTTAGAAATCATCTGTGTAAACATTGACATCACTGTCTTGTCCGTATATTGCTTAATATGTTGTAATTGACATCTTTGATAATGGCTTCTGTAAGCCGAAAGCTTAGATTGTATAAAAAAAAATATGGTTCAATATTGTGATCTATATTGTCTATATTATTTAATGAAACGTATATATATATATATATATATATATATATATATATATATATATATATATATATATATATATATATTTGGCTAGCAATCTTTCAAGAGATAGTGACTCGATAAAAATACTCATCACCCAGCATCCTAGATCACTCGTGGAAATTTGTCGGCTTGACAGAAGAGCCATATATCATGATAGGTGAAAATTCGGGGTCTGCTCGGTGATGACGGAATGTTACTAATTTGGTTTTGGCCGTATTCAATTTTGAAAGCTTGTCCATCCCCCATTGAACCAGCTGGCATAGATCAGAAGACAGAAGAGCTGGAAAATGTCATTACCTTAAAGGCAACGTAGACGTTTTTTAACACTATCAAGACAAGCAAATGAAGACTGGGCAACTCCAGCCTAGATTTGGCAACAGTATTCCATTTTCACTCTGATCTAGCTCTTCTAGAGTATAGCAGGGGGAGTCAGATAATTACTGGAGCGGCACAATAAACGAACCATTTTTCCAACATCTTTATCAACAGATCAGATATATATGTCCCACTTGAGGACTGAAAGGAACTTGAGTCCTAATAGACGTTCAATGAAGGAGACCCCCTTGAGGGAAGACCCAGTCATCATGATAGGTGAAAATTTGGGGTCTGTTCGGTGATGACGGAATGTTACTGGTTCGGTTTTGGCCGTATTCAATTTTACAAGCCAATCCTGGGTTAGGCCAAAGGAGAGATGATCTCCCAGGTCTTCTAGATTTTTGGAGGTGC